AAGGGATGGACCTCACCCAGAAAGGAGTACAGCCCTGCAACACCCGGATTTTTGCCCTGTGAGAACCGGGCAGACTTCTAACCTACAGAACTGTAAGAAAATCGACTGGGGGTGATTTAAGGCACCAAGCTCATGGTAATTTGTTAGCATAGGTGGAGGCTGAGTTTCTCAAGGAATTGGTCCATGATTTCTTCTAAGTTGTCAAATTGATTTTACAATGTATTTATTTAGAGTTGTTCGTAATACTCACTCCTCACTATCCTTTGAGCCTACAGTGACACCCACTTTTCACCCATGAGGCTGCTGATTTGTGTCTTCTCTTTCAAAGGACCATCTTTTAATTTCATTGATTTTTCTCTAGTTTTACTGTCTTCAATTTTATTGGTTTCCATTCTTTATTATTTCCTTTTCTTCTGCTTCCTTTTGTTTTAATTTGCTCTTCTTTTACTAGCTTTTAAAAATTACCTTTGCTTTCTTGGTGTTACTTAATTGTATGCTTGCATCATTTAATTTTAATAATGGCTGTGTTTAACAACCAGCCGCCACACCCCGAACCCCGCGGCTCCCTTGTGTGAGGTTCCCAGGCCCAGTTAGTCCCCACCAGCCTCTCCCTCAGCTCCAGGCTGTCCGCTGCTGCCAGGCAGCACCCCCACTTGAATGTTCTGCTGATGGCTCAATATAAATGTAAACAAATGGGGTCCACCGCAGAGCCCCTTCGCTCCCCTACTCTCGGAGCCTCCCACTCTGGTGCCACGTGAAGCTGCCTCCTGGACTCCTCCGTACACCCCGCACCCCGGCAACGGAGCCCCTGAGCTTGGCCTCAGTGCCATCTGGAGTCCGCACACTTCCCACAGTCCTGTCTTCACCCTGCCCACATCCTTGTCTCCCCGCCCCCTGGATGCTGCCCTGGGCTCCCTGCCCCCTCCTAGCCCCTGTGTCTTCTATTCTCACTGAAACAATAAGAAAAGGTGAGGCTGGCCGGGCGCGGTGGCTCAAGCCTGTAATCCCAGCACTTTGGGAGGCCGAGGCGGGTGGATCACGAGGTCAAGAGATCGAGACCATCCTGGTCAACATGGTGAAA